TCATGGAAACGAGACATATGAGAAAGCCGCAAGTGCGCAAAAAATGACGTAATTTCAGGCAAGGTAGCAGTTCTGCCGTGATAGCGAAGAGAGCCGTAAGTGCAACATTTTCGAAATCGAGTTTTCTTCAAAATTCGTCTAAATTCTTTTAGATGAAATTACTGAGACAGCTAAAACAGCAAAATTCATCCTAATTTAATGAAAACGAGACGTCTGTAAAAGCCGTAAGTGCACAAAAAATGACACAGTTTTTTTCAAGACAGCCGTAGATGCATGAGAGCCAATGAGAACAGTGCTTTCCAGTAACGTGCCGCCCTCTTCTGCCAATTTCTAACCTGAAAATGTGTTTGTTGTGCGTCCAAAACGCAACCACGAAAGCATGCAGAAGATAGCACTTACGGCTGTCTTGCCTAACAATAACCTAGCATGAAAATGAAAAATACCCTTTTTATGTAATGGAAATTAAATCAGTCGATTTTTAATCATCCAAACGATCTCTAGGAATCTTTCGGACGAATCGTGATTATTTGAGAAAAAACGGAGGCTTCTGTAATAAAATTTTCCGGTAACATGCCTCCGAGCCCGTTTTACCAAAACTTTCTTTTGGCACTTACTGCCCTCTTTGCTGTCAACGGCCCATCACGTTGACACACATTAATCACCGCACCTGTGGGTACTGAAAAGCAATATCGTGATCTATTAACTCAAAGGCTCCAATGAATCATCATTTTCGGAAGTGGCTGAATCTCGGGGATGGTACTTAATATATTAAAGGGAGTAGTACTATTATTGTGGGTATAATTAGGCCGGGGAAATAACCCGAAAATGACGCGAGGTAACAGTGACAAGGAGCGTATTGAGATTTGGCAAGAAGGAAACCAAAAACACGAAAGGTGATTAAGTGATGGAGGTGTAAGGTTTTATTCCTCCGCGCACTTCATTGTAAAAGAAAACTTTTAATTTCTGTGTTCGCAACGAAAGTTTTGTTTTACATGTATGTGAATCTACAAGTCGGGAGAAAGAAGAAACGCAAACCTACCGGTATCTTTTCTAAAACAAGAATTTTTTTCCCCCTAGGCTCTGTCAAATTTTTCGCAGGAAATATCGATGAGACTTTTCTTCCCAATAAATTAAAACCAATAATTCCGAAATGCGGTCAGGGTAGAGAGGAGGGTTCTACACTTCTACAATCAAAAGTATAAACAACACTATGAAGATGATTTGACCTAGTAAAAGCGAATACATGAAGCTTTTTTCACAAACTCTTAAAAAATTTGTCAAGAAGTATTAATTAGAATAACACTTTTGGTATATTTTTAAAGGAAAAATGCTTCAGGACTTTTACATAATAGATCTCTGAAAAAGAAGCCTCCCGTGTTCGAAGCATTATTATGATTTTTTTCTTTCAATTCTTTCAATTCTGGTTAAAACCAGATTAAGTAAAAAGTTACAGTAAAGTCACATGTTTCAATTTCTTTACTGATGTAATTTCAATTATTGATATAATGGTTCAAAATTGCACACTAAAAAGGGCTTTATTAGAACTACTTTTAAACAATTTTTCTTGTAATTGTCTGTTTAAAATTTACGAGTTTCTCGATGCGAAGATCATTTGAGAAGAAGAGAAGGAGGAGGAAGAAGGAGAAGAAGGAGAAAAATAGTAGGATTGTAATAATAGTTAGAATAGATAACGCAGTAGGAATGGAAGCGCCGCGCAGCGAGGTAGCGGTAGTCTGATTTACGCGGGAAATTCAAATATCGGATGGGTTGAGCGAACTTGCCGGGGCCGGCTAGTTAACTCCAAAGACTGGATTTCGTATATCATTGCCGGGCAATGGTATTTAACTCAGGATCTAATGATCACCCCCGGATCGATCCCTCAAATGTCAAGAATTCAACCGCATTGCCGGCCCGTCCCATCCGACTACCTGAATTTTGATCGCAGAACAAAAGAAAGGGAATCCCATTCAGATTTGAAGCCAGTGCCCGCGATGAATCGATCCGGCCTCTCGACACTTGACGTGATACGTGCCTTTATGAGCTATCGAAGCATATCATATGCAGTCTCTGCGTCCACCTCGAGTGATGACCCCACTGACACATAATAACGACTATCTTAAAAANATGTCAAGATTTCAACCGCATTGCCGGCCCGTCCCATCCGACTACCTGAATTCTGATCGCAGAACAAAAGAAAGGGAATCCCATTCAGATTTGAAGCCAGTGCCCGCGATGAATCGATCCGGCCTCTCGACACTTGACGTGATACGTGCCTTTATGAGCTATCGAAGCATATCATATTCCCTAGCGGGTGACCGCTAGGGAACTCGAGCGCAGCGCGGCTTCATTCTGGCGAAAATTGATTGGCGGGGTTCTTAGCGTCACTTCTCTGGTGTCCGCGATGAAAATTAAGCCTAAGAACGTGCAGCGCGCCTAAAATTAAGCAATTTGGAACTTTTTTTTTCAGTGTGTGATATCATATTGGTAACATGTTGATATCATGATGATAACATGTTGATATCATATATGATAACAGGTTCCATTCACCCTGTTGCTACCATGTTGAGCCAAACCAACTTGTCACCAACATGGTCATTTTTAGCAGGGTGTACAATTGTACATGCTAAGTCGAAACAGCAATACTAATAATTAAAAATTAAGACAAATTATTAAAAATACTGCTAGTCCAGTTGTTGTCTTCCCCTCAGAGGTTCCTCGCGTTTTTGCTTTGACAATAAAGTGGTATCATCAGATCGGAATAGCAAATCAATGAAGCTTGGAAAAATAGGAAAAAATAAATAAAAGAAGAAAATAAAAAAAAATCGCCGTCATGCCGCAAAAAAGGAACAACTTCTGCAATTTTCTCAGCTATAGGTAAATGTTTTGACTTCTACTGAATCAAAAGCAGATCCCAGTAGGTAATTATCATAAAAATGGTATACCCAATGCTAAGTGATTTATCAAACATTTCTCAAGTTCCCATGACGAGTATTGCTATCACACTGCGATTGCAGACACCAGCTTGTTTTAACTTGAAATTAAGGACATAGCCAAACGAAGCGTTTTTAACTAAAAAAAAAAAAAAAAATTTGTCGACAAGAAACGCCCCTTTAAGTCAAAATAATATCTCAAGAAAAATTGTTTTCAGTGGTACCAACTCTTGACTCGAATGATTTAACTATTCGAGAAAAAACTAAATATTTCGTATTTAATTTCATGTTTACGCATGTATGCGCACGTATTTTTGCATAAGGCCGCAACATTAAATTCATCATAACATGATACATTCCGTGATGCATTCTATTTTGTGGCAAAGTTTTAATATAAGTCAAGACTGTTCCATTTGTTTACTTGTTTTCATATGTTAGGTGTTAGGTTTCATATGAGTTGAGTTATAAAATGCTCAACCAAGCCTGTCTTCGGGTTTGTTGGCGCGTATACGTAGTAAACCACAAAAAAACCCTCAAAAAGGGTAAAAATTCCGCCAAGCCTATGAGATCTTATCACAAAATTAGTAGGTATTTATCTTAACAAATTTTAAAAACGGAGAGGGGGGGGGGATAGTAATCTCTTGAAAATTACAGAAGGCGAAAAGAAAAGCAACTCAAATTCTGTTTTCCATTCAAACCTCAAAATGTCTGATATCATTTGAGGTCAAGATTTTGTAAGTATAGGTACGCCCCAGAACTAGGACGAGCAAACGGGAAATTAATTCTGCTTAGAGTCCCCTTCAGTTAGTCTCGGACGCAACCAGCTTACTTTTGAAGCAAGTTTGATTGCCTGGGTCACTAATACAAGGAAAGATAATTGGATTTGCTTCCTTCGAGAAGATGGCGACGGATAAAATAAGCAGTTCTTTTTTCAGTCTCAAACCTCAAAATATTTGATATCTTTTGAAGTCAAGATTTTTTACCACCTCCTCATCTCACTTTCATTTTCGTTTCGCATTTTAGGAAATAAATTCCACTCTTATGCATTATTAAACTTTCTTTAATTTTTCGCTAATGGGCCTGTTGCATGCAAGAGATACAGCCGTGCGAATAGACTTTTTAGAGGTTAAATGACACGAAAATTACGATGGTCACATTGAAAAAGTCTGAAATACACTCCTTACTGCGCAATTTGTGTTGTTAGGAACGCGCTTTTTCAAATTTCCCGCGTCTGGGGGCAGTTTTCTAACGGAAACAATTAACGGCAACTCGCGGCTATTTCCGGTCAACTGTCCGTGACAACATAACCTAAAAATCGGAGCTCGTGACATCGTGAAATGAAATGTAGAAGGATTGCGTTGGATATTTAAAAGTTGATCGATTTGGTTACCGCATAAAGCGTATATGGACCACTGTAGGAGATCACGTTGGGTTTGTAAACAAACTGAAGGAAAAAATAATAACAACAACAACGACTCGGCATCTTCCGGAAATCACCGAGCCCGTCGTTTGCTCGTTTCCGGTGATTAGAAAACTGCCCCCAGACGCGGGAAATTTGAAAAAGCGCGTTCCTAACAACGCAAATTGCGCAGTAAGGAGTGTATTTCAGACTTTCTTAATGTGACCATCGTAATTTTCGTGTCATTTAACCTCTAAAAAGTCTATTCGCGCGGCTGTATCTCTTGCATACAACAGGCCCATTATTCCCCTTCATTTCAGGTAGCCGCAACTCTTCTTAACTACAATAGCTATGTAAGGAACCATTGTATAATACTTACGAGACCTTTCTCGTTTAGATCAAGAATAGAATAAATGTTTTCAATTCAGATTCTGGCACACTCTTTGAAAATTAAAAAAAGAAGTCAGGTAGATGAAGGTAGAATTTTTAAAGAGCCAAAAAAAATTAGCTAAAAAATCAAAAATTCTGGCGAGACGGTCCCGATACTCTTGTGGGTGTGGTATTGCTGAAAGGGTAGTGCCAATAATAAGGGTAGTAGAGCGAGGTTCAAAATTGCCGAAAAATGAAAATGCATCTTTTTACCAGTTAAACTGCTTGTTTTTCTTTTGCAGAAAGCTACAAATATCGACGAAGAACAACCAAAATGCTTCACTTTCCAGAATCTCATATAAAGACACCTAAATTCATTCACAAATCCCTGCTGATCACACTTATTAGCGCCAGACACATCTACAAAGCGGCTCCACCACGTTCCAGTAAATCAACCAGCCTGCAGATGCTGAAGGAGTTTTTCGTTTTGGAGTTGGACTATGGAGGAAACATTACACTGCTCAACATGGGTTCTGTCCTTCGAACCATACCAATTTTTTTTTTATTTCTAGGTGATATAGAAGTCCGATAATGCCCATAATAACTTCAGGAAAATTGGCTGGTGCTCAGGGCGCTGCCATTTTGAATTTTCCAAAATTGCGAAAACCCTCGATCAGTTTTTTGGAAATATCTCCTCAACGGTTAATCTTACGAAAAAAACAAAGAAACCACATAACATTTCCTACCGAAACCACCCTCCTTTGTTTTTTCTAGCTTAATTTTTTGGTCGTAAAATTAACGTTTTCTTAAAAAATTAGCTTAAAAAAGGCGTATTTTTGCTGATTTTAGGAGAAACTTTGCTTCATATCTCCAGCCACGATTATCTGAGAAAAAAACTGTTATGCTCATTGAAAAGAGCTTAACATTTACTTCTAGAAAACATAGGTCAATGATTTCTAAACTTGATTTAATACTGAGAAAAAGCAATTTATTAGCTCCGCCGTTAAATTGTGATTTTGTCGATCATCTCCTTTAAAATCAAGAAAAAAAGAGGCAAAAACCTAACAACGTGACTCAAACTGTGTAACAAGGTAGTAAAATAGTGCTGGGCCCACACTATTTATTTGGGGGGGGGGGGAGCCAAAAAGTTCAAAAATTTTCAATCAGATCCAAAAATGTTGAGCTCTCATGAGGATCAGTAAAAAACTGATGGGGGAGAGTGTTCAGCTCAGGCAGTTTGCATTGGACAATTACGTTGAGGTCACGTCGAGAGATATTATCTAAGATCTAAGATCTAAGAGAGATCTATAATTTTGGGTCTTTTCTGTTAGAATTTCTGTAATTTCAGACATCGCGCAGCAGCGCAATAGAAGGAGAATATGCAATGTTGCAGTTTTGTGGACGTGGTTGCTAGCGCGCTCCACTTCGTTAGTCGTTTTGAATACCGCAGTATGTGACGCCTGTCCAGTATGTGACAAACGGGAATAAAGATTACACAAATTGGACTTTTTTTGTAATCATTGATCAACCCATTCCCAAATTCCTATCTCCGTTCCCTCTCTCACTCCATTTGTTCCTTGCCGTACCGCGTACCCCCAATGTCCCGGTCCATTCCGATTTATAATCTTTGCAATTGGTGAAACTGTAGTCTTTATTCCCGTTTGTGACACTGCGAAGGCCTGAAATACGGCAACCAATCAGAAATTGATTCACATTGTCTTTACTCTCGGTATAAAGGGACTCTAAGCCAGAACTTGCCTTTCGGCTTCCACCGCTAAAGCTGTGCCTCGAAATTTGAATTTCATCAACTTTGCAATCATGGCTGAGAACAAATATGACTGTCTGCTGCTGATAAAAATGAACAAGCAGCCACTTTACTACGCAAATGAATTTTCATTCGTGAAGAATTTGCTCGCACTGAATTTGTCCGTTTTTACCAATGGCAGATGGTCATATTTGTTCTTGGCCAAAACTCGACAGAGCACAGGGGAGAATTTCATGAGTCGCCCTGCGTCGTCCGAAGTGCACTTGGCGCACGGCTCGCCTTTCATTATTACACTTCATCTAGCGTTGAGAGTTCATTAATTACTTCAAATGATCAGTGTGTCATCATAAAAATCAAAAATTAAAATTAAAAAAAAAAAAAAAAAAAAAAAAAAAAAAAAACATACGGTATACGAGTTTTTCCGCCAAGGAGCTCTCTCCGCCAGTAATCGTCCACTACACCGCCCGCCGCGCCGGGAGAAGAAGAATTGCGCAATGCTTGAAGTATCCCTATAGGTTTGTAGGCGCCAATGTGCGTTTCGAGCTGGCAGCACGCCGCCGCGCCGCAGCGTGTCATAAACTTGCCCACAGATTATTAGTAGAGTACCTATATTGAGAGAGTATGGCCACTGGAGTTACCACCTCTGATTGGCTCAGCCATCTTAGGCTGAATGGAGCCCTTAGGACCCAAAAATGGCGGACGCCATAAAGTTAATGTAATGCAAAATGATTCAAAATGTAGTTGTCTTTGCTTATCGTAACGAGAACTTTACCCAAATGCACTATTGCGACTTTTTTACATATTTTTAAGGCTAATCGTGTGCAATTTTTGAGAAAAATGATCTTAGATGTAGTAAGGTTGGCAGCAAGTGCGGTTGGTGATAACCGTCAAAAGTTGGCAATGACCCCCCTCCCATCCACAAAAACCAAAACAAAGCACCGCCATTTTTGGGTCCTAAGCCTCTCCATGGGACCCAGTGGCCATACTCTCTTAATATAGGTACTCTAATTATTAGGTAAGGGCGTTAAAATCTTGGCAATTTGACATCAATTTCGAAATTAGCGACTCAAAAACCATCAGCAACGAAACTTTCGGGAGATGTTTTAGTCATTATGCGACTTATTTCTTCCTATTCTTGAGTTTTGGACCATAGTGCGTCGTGGGCGGCGGCTCGAGAAATTCTTTCTTGAGCTCAATCGGCCAAAACTGCGAAATTATTTGAATTCAAATTTCGCGCCACAGCACAGCTCCAGCGGCGGAAACCAAAAGCCGAGTTCTGGACGAAAAGGTCGGGAAGAGCATATCTACTTTACACTTACCTTAGAAAAAGCCCGCTTTTAGGAAGCCAAAAGACTCGAAGTAATTTCAAATGCGCCGAAATGGCGGGAAATGATGGCCGTGAAACACTACGGCAGTTAAATCGCTATCTCCTCTCATTAGCCCATGATTTTTGCTAAAATAAAACGTGATGGAGATGTTGCATGTGTGAGAAATTTGCGATTTGACTGTTGATTCTTATGTAAAAGTTCGCGAGAAACACGATGGTGCCACTGGTTTTCCCTGAAATCAACTGCCAAGCTCAAAAAAAGCTCTCAAAGTGAGGCCAAAATGGAGGGGATATCCCATGCTATCCGGAGAGCCCACCTCTACATCAAGACAAACTCTCTATGCAAAGATAGGGAGCAAATACATTGATAGGGCTACCATTTTATTTGGGGACTCCAAAACTGAAAACAGGCATCACTGCTAATGTATTTGCTCCCTATCTTTGTATGGAGAATTTGTCTTGATGTAGACGTGGAATCTCAGGATAGCGATGGATTTCTCCTCCATTTTGGCCTGAACTTGAGAGCTTTTTTGAGCTTGGGAGTTGATATCAGAGAAAACCAGTGGGACAATCGTGTTTCTCGCGAACTTTTACACAAAAATCAAGAGTCAAATCGCAAATTCCTCACACATGCAACATCTCCATTCAATGTGTACTTATTGTTCCTTGCAAAAAAAAAAAAAAAAAAAAANAAAAAAAAAAAAAAAAAAAAAAAAAAAAAAAAAAAAAAAAAAAAAAAAAAAAAAAATTGAGCGAGGTTGCACATTTTCCGCCCGAAAATTTCGTTGATGTAACCCAAATAAAAACTGAACACAAAATGAGGTTCCTTTACGGTCTTCCCATATGTAGAGTCGGGTCCAGCAATTTGGTAACACTAGATTTCCCTCCATTTAAATCTATGTTAAATAATCTATTCTTGTTGGAGCACCTTGCCCCTCCAAGAATCGATATACTTCCATAAGTTCAAATGGAGAAAAACAATGTTGCCAATTTGCTGGATCCACCGATGCCCATTAAACACAAAATGTTGGTTACATTTTCTTACTGTGTGCGGGATTTTGGGGTTGGTAACAGGCGCCGCTGGGACGCGGAGTTAGGCGGGGCCTTAAAGCAGCAGCAGGAGTAAAACACAAAACTTATGCATTCTTAGCGGTCAGTATGTGTCTGATATACGATATATATTGCCAACGATCAAGGGGGCCCCGCATTTACCTCTCCAGACCGCCCCTCGAAACGGTGGACGGCGTCTTACCATGGAAGAATCGGGAGTGGCTGGACAAACTCAAAGAACTTGAGGAGTGGCACAAGAAACCGGGAAACCATGAAATGACGGTAATATATATATAAAGTCGCTTTATAACGCACTCTGGCGTTCTACGACACCCAAACGCCACATATGCCTGTCTTCCCAGAGGTTATCGGGCAACTGACACCGCAACATCTCTTTCACGAAATGACGGTAATATCCTCTTAATTCGTCACCCCTCTCAACTAAGGGGGCATCTCAATGGGTGAGTTGCGCTGGTTACAAAATTGAGTTTTCATGCTTGATTCTTGTAGATCGGCTAAAAATAATGAAAATAATGATAAGATGACAGCTTGCGCGGAAAAGCTCCCTCAATTAAAAAATTAAATATTTTTTCACTTCTCATAATTTTAATAATGTTGATCTTTGTTGTTGGTGCAACATTTCACTTCAGATTTGAATCTTTAACCTATTTTAGATTGTCAAGTTTAAGAATCTATCGGAACTATTTTGCCACTAATTGGACTACATTTTGCGAAAAAGAACTACAATTTCTGGCTCAGTTTAGAAACGACGTATGTACCATAAGTTTCCCTACGCAAATAAGTTTTTTTTTTTAGATACGCTAAAAATTTTAGTTCAAAATTGCAAAATTTAGTCTATTTGGACCGCGTTGAGCAGAAAGGAACCAAGTCGCATCAGCTATTGCCAAATTTGATCAGGCAATTTAATTTTAACATGAAAACGGTTTGCGGATTTTAGTGCACATTTCAGCGAATTTCCTGCTTAGTACGAGGAAAATTCCTTAGCATCCGCTTAAAGGAATCCGCACAAACGTTGTCTGATAAAAAATTGAATAGCCCAGTTAAATTTGGCAACAGCTGATATGGAATGGTTCCTTTCTGCTAAACTCCGTCCAATGGAGATGTTGCATAAGTCAGGAATTTGCGATTTGACTATTGATTCTTATGTAAAAGTTCTCGAGAAACATGATGGTGCCACTGCTTTTCTCTGAAATCAACTCCCAAGCTCCAAAAAAGCTCACAAGTTGAGACCAAAATGGAGGGGATATCCCACGCTATCCTGAGAGTCCACGTCTACATCAAGGCAAACTCTCCGTGCAAAGATAGGGAGCAAATACATTGACAGGGCTGCCACTTTATTTGGGGACTCTAAAACTGAAAAAACGGCATCACTGCTAATGTATTTGCTCCCTATCTTTGCATGGAGAGTTTGTCTTGATGTAGACGTGGACTCTCAGGATAGCGTGGGATATTCCCTCCGTTTCGGCCTCAACTAGAGAGCTTTTTTTGAGCTTGGGAGTTGATTTCAGAGAAAAGCAGTGGCACCATCGTGTTTCTTGCGAACTTTTACAAGAGAATCAATGGACAAATCGCAAATTCCTCACACATGCATCTCCATTAATACCGTAATTTTTTCATTTGCATTCCATTCTCGGCTGAATGAATTGAAGGTGAAAAAGAATTCCCTGGTCGAAAAGCTAA